GAGATTAATGTTGGAAGAAGAAAAAGAATCCTCCAGGGGTCACGGTAAAGGTTAACCTCCTGCTCTCTCTCATCACTCTGCATCCATTTGGCATTCTAGGTGATGAAGACTTTTTCATCTTTAGAAACAGCTTCAGCTCTTTACAGCTTCTAGCAAATCTAAATCATTTTCAGCAAACGATCCTGTTGGAATTCAGTTGTAAAGCTGTGTGAAGTTTGATCTGCAATGATAAACAAACATGACCTGAATGTATTCATAATTTAATCTATCAGTGATTAGCTGTCGGATTATTTGCCAATTAGCTTCATTAAAGTGAGGCCAAGAAGACGTCCCGACATCACAGCTATTTCCAATAGACAGCTGCACGGGTCCCAGATCCGGTTTCAGTGGACCCAAAGTTAAAGATTGGGTTCCTTCCCCTGGACCACCACCCATAATTCCACCTTCATCTCCTTATCTGGGGGTCTTGCTCTCACATGGTTCCTTCAATCATCTCCCTGAAGCTCCCTGCTGACTGAGGCCACTTTGCTCAAGAATTAAAATAAACCCTGAAAGGGAGGTGTGAAGGCTGAAGGTCTAACGCCCGGCTTTCTTCTATTTGTTCCGTGACCCTCGCAAATTCCAAACAAATTTGTTTTCACAGTGTTTTCACCACAATGTGATATTATTAGTTAGGAGAAAACACTCCAAGTTTAGATGATTCCTTTACATCCAGTCTGGAGGTTCTTGGCTCCTGTTCAAGACGTTAAAGTGTTTATCCTCAAGCTATGTGCATTTTAATGTACACACATGCCACATCCATTTACAGCTTCACTAATGGACGACAACAACTAAATTTAAAACAAAGATTGAACATGTAAGCCAAGAAAATCTGCAATCCAAAAGAGAGCAATGTCCCTGACTTAAAAAACAACAAATAACAACATGATTAATCACTGCTGATGTTACATAACTTATTAGTATCATCTTCTGTCTCCTGAAGCGGAAAGCTGCTTCAAAGGGTTTAAGCCATTTGTAAATCCCTCAGGTATGAACCTCCGCTGGGTCACTGGACTCGGACCAAACCAGCACAAAAACAACAACAAAGTCCTTCAAGATACCAGTGAGACATCCCGCAAGAACCTTTGAACCTGTTATTTTAAACTAAAACTGAACTTTCAGCTCATTTTATAAACAAAACCACAGCTTAACAGCTTCTCAGGCACACATCTGCAATCAAACACCAACACAAACTAGATTTCATTGTCCCTGAGCTCAAACAACGAAAAGCACCACGCTGTCCGGGCTCCAATAGGAGGCCTCTTTCCTCTGTGATTTGTTATTTGAACACAACCATCTCCCGTCTCACCCTTGACCTCGGCAGCAGCCTCTACTAGTCGTGGCAGTGATTTTAACACATGTGGACTCAGCTGTCCTCGGTTTGGGTGATATTTGGGGGACATTGCACTTGAGCTTCCTCTCTACCACTCACACTCTCACTCTCTCCCCTCTTTCTTACCTCAGAAACGCTGAAAGAAGCGAGCTCCCTGCTGGCCGAGAAAGGCTGTAAGGTTCTGCAAACTTACCGCGCTGATTAAGTCCTTCTGTTATAGTGACACACGATCCGCTTGGCCACCCCATTGGCCGAGGAGCTGGCCTGGAGGCGAGGCCGGGCCTGTACTGGGGCAGGGTCCACGACTTTGGTCCCCCCCCCCCTCTGCTGGCACTCAATAAGGAGATGGAAGGGTTGAGTGTTAAGGAGGGAGGCTCAAGTTTGGAGAAGGGGGCACCCAAGACGCCCACAGGTTGCTATTCTGGGGAAGCTGCATTAGGCAAGCAAATTTTATCTGAGAGTGAGAAGACAGCTCGACGTCAGGGAAGCGAGGCAGGTGGTGTTCCTAAACCTCCTACAGAAGTCTGAGGCACATAACCCTAACCCCATGTACAGCATGGACAAGAACCTAAATTATTTGTCTAACCAAGCTGTAAATCCGACATGTTGATCCATCTATTGCTTTGGGGTCTTGTTTTCTATGACTGCCTGGTTTGCAAGAATCAACCAGAAGGGCAAAAGTGGGGCCCACCCCAAAAATCACTAGATGTTCCTCAGACAGTTTCAGTCCACGCAGGTGCTAAAAATGTGCAAAAACAACATTAGAACATATCTGCGATAGTACAAAAACATTTCACCCTCCTGCCAGCAGGCTTTCAGTCAGTAGTTCCTTAAGTTTAGGAAAGATTAAAGGAAAAATATGCTCAAAGATTTTGCGCTGTATGGTTTTGACATTCCCCACATTTTGATGTGTAATGGTAAAAAAAAATACACTTTTACCAATACAATATGTGACCTCTGTGCTATGAATATCAGCACTTTAAATATATGGTCTAAGAACACTTTCAAAAACATGTATGCTCAACTTTAAGCATTCAGATTCGTATTTGTGCGTAATATAAATGCTTAAGGTTGTGAAAGTGTTCTTACACCATATAAATGCCCCATTAAAGATTTTTAATTAGTCTTTTGATTAGTTAAGTTCAATTGGATTGATGTATATTTAATTATCTGCTTTCCAGTGGTATTTTTTTCCAGAAATCAGCCACCTATTTCATAGACATCCTCTGCAAGATCAGTTTGATCTGTTACTAATGTCTTTCAGTTTAGCTGTAAGTCTAAACAAGCTGCAGCATGAATCATTCAGCAAACTCCTCAGCTGGATTTATAAACGGGATCTGTGATGCGGGCGTCGGTCTGAACTGTCTCAGGGGTCCTGAATGATCTACTAATTTCCTCCGGGGGGTGCTACAATGACAGAATAAAGAACTCTTGGTCACTCACAGGTGGGAGTGTCAAATGTTTTCATGTCACAGAAACACAAATAGACAAACTCCAGGCCGAGGACCTCCTGTTTGATTTTGTTGACTTACAGTTTGACGGACCTGTCTACACTCTCGCTGTTGGGATGAACAGTGAAACAAACCACAGAAGCAGTTACAGAGTGCTTTATCTCATTGGGGTTATACAGTAGGGTCATATTAAAATTACTCGGCCAAACCAACACGTTCTCATCCCAGGGATACCCCTCAGCGTCAGTATGAAACACCTTTTTAAATGTGGTTAACGCTGTGAAACGGTCACAGTTTGGTTAGGCTTACAAAAAGATCTTTGTTTGGGTTGAAATAAGTACATTACGTGACAGCGGTCACGTATTTAACATTATGTAGCTTCATACTTTAAGTTAGTCACCTTTGACTTTTGGTTCTGTATATTGTCACCTGACATGGATGGGTTACACTGAAGTTAGTTGAAAGCCCAAGAATACCTTGTGCGTCAAATACAGACGCTCTGGGAATGAGAATGGGCTTGCCAAACTGTACAAAGGAAATAACATTTTTCAAAATTAATGATCCTTAAACCTTCTCAAATACCAGTGGAACCCCATAAAGGATTGTTATGCCATCACAACCCATCAGACCCTGCTGTGACACCATTTTTATCCCATGAATGACAACTGAAATTTTCTTAACGACACCTGAACCTCACTCAAGCGCTCCTGAATGCTCTCCCAAATCCCACAAAACCCCACAAGAACCCCATAAACCATCAAAAGGACTCTTGGGACCTCCAGAAATACTTGCAACACCCCATCTAAGCACAGGAGATCAATAAAGGACCACGAGGAACCCCCAAAGCTCCTTGTAACCCCATGAAGGATTTTTAAAACTCATCAATACAATTCGTCTACAACTACCAGCTACAAGCAGCTTCCTCTTTCAAGGGTCACACAAACCCCCTTAAGGATACCCAGGAACTCTCTCAAGGACTCATGGAACCACAACCTAAAAATCAAATAAACATACTCCTCCATCCCCCCTTAAAAACACCTGTAATCCCCTGATGCCCTTACAAAATCTTGGATCCCTGTTTTTTTTTGTTTTTTTATGTACCCCTGAAACTCCCTTAAGGAACCCTAGAACCTCATGAAGAACCCATGGAGTCCCCTCAAAAACTGCAAGAATTCCCAATAAGCATAATGCTGCATTCAGGTCATGTGGGTTGATGGTAGAGATGGGAAAGATTCAGATCTGTGAGTGCTCACATCATCACCACGGTGGTATGATGACTCAGTTTGTCATGTGAGGATTACCATACTGTGCATGGACAACGCACCTGTGACACCATATCACCTTTTATTTTCTCAGTTGTAATAACAACTTGGACTTTTATGCCACGTTCATGTCATTTTGGAGTTACCGTAACTGCGAGTTTCCAACTTGTATTAGCGTACACGTCTACTTCCAAGTCATGATTATGACGGATCTTTTCTGAAAGCTCTGGTTTATCTGACATCGAACCTCATAATACGAAAGTGCCTGAGAACTAACATGGATTCTTGATAGCAGCCAAAATCCGACGTTCAGAGTAATTAAACCCTGATTAAATTTATATAGTGTTTTGTTGTCAATGCATAGTATTTTAACCCTTACATGGCCAACCCTATGCCTCCATCCCTTAGGACATGAATGTGGCATAATAACCCCACTAGGAGCTTTAGAATCACATCAGTGATGCCTGCCACTCAAACTTCAAATAGGACTAGAAAACAAACCCCATTAAAAGATCCCCTGACTAAGAACCTTTGAGCACCAAGAATGCTAAGAACCCACCTAAATATCCTCGGAACTTGTTGAAGGACCCCTAACCTCCCGTGTATCACCGTTAAGCAACTCTTAACACTTCTCCAGTAAACAGGTATTTACAACCCACCTGTGTAGGTGCTGAGAACCCCTCACACCCCCCTAATCCCATCAAGAACCCATGAGTTAGGATTCTTCCTCTAGAATTCAAATCATGTGAAATTCTGCGAATCATTTTTCTGAGAGCACAGTTGAGCCCCCTGCCGGATCCCAAGTACATCCTTAAAGGACCCCTGGGTGGCCCTCAGACCCCACTTTTAGAGCCCTGAGGTGGTGAAACCTAAGGTCCTGTGGCCTGTTGGTGCTGCATCTCGCCTCGCCTCTCTCTGCTATCACAGCGACGCTGCTGTCACTCTGCTCACAGGGTTCAGGATTTATTTTTGGACTGCCATGGCTTCTGTTCCTTCCATTTGTAGGAAGGGGGGTCGAGTTGGGCTCAACATGAACCTGCCGCTCTGACACTCCAGGCTGGGACAAGCAGGCAGCAGCCGGCCGGCCGCCCCCCGAGCAGCAGTCGCACAGGTAAACACGCCATATTTACACCTTTTATACTCCAGATAGTGCGCATGGAAGCTGTTAACAGAGTTAGGGAGGCGGCTGCTGTCGAGGGCAGAACCCCCACCTCTGCAGCCAGAGATCAGACATGTTCGGAGACCTCAGGGTGTCTTTTCTTTTCCTCAGTGCAACAGTGAAGCACCAGCAGCACTGAGCTACATGTTAGCCTTGCATTGTTTCTACTCCCTGTGGCTTCAAAACACACTCTGCCCTGTCATTTATTTGTCCTGGCTGCAATGAGGCATGACTGAGTGATGATCACATTCTAGCTTTGAGTTGTTACCTTCCTGTTGTGAATAAAGTCAAGTTCGATATTTCACATCAACCTGAATGAATGTTCTCTCTTGTTCTGTGAAGGGGAACCTGCGTGGAGCACTTTGAACATCAACAAGTTTTTACCTGGTATGTTCCTTCTTTTTACTCACTGTTTGCTGTGTTTGAGTGTGAAGCCTCATAACTTCAGTGGAGGTTAATGACTTTTTGGGGAGGATTCATTTACTTAAGGAGGCTATTGTGGACCAACTTGGTTTTTATTACACGGCTATTATTACACTTTCCTCTTTTGAACTTGCACCCTGAAGGTGCTCCAAATACCAAGCCTACCAGAGCCTTAAAAGGAGGAGTGAGCTCTCATGTGTCAGGCTGGCAGCAGGTTCAGGGAGGGAGGCGGGTGGGAGGGGTGGAGCTTTAAAACACAACCAGCTCTGGCCTACATTTCACTGAAGTGACACACATAGTAAACTGAGGATATTAAACAGTTGTACAGACTGAATGATGTCAGGGATCCTTCATTTGTAACCCAAGCCCTCTGGATAGTCTTATAATAAATTTATCTGACTCTAAAGTTCAAATTCATTGCACTAACGTTACGTTGTGCAGTGTTATTTTTAAATTTTTAAATCAAATTTTTCTTCTTATGCAATTGGGTATTCTCTGCGCAAATATATTTCTGAGGCCCTAACCAGGGTCGTTGGGCTATGATGTCATGAGGTCAGGTGTTTTGCATTCACTTTCACCCTTCAGCAGATATATATACACATCTATATGTGCGTGTTTATGTGGGAAGAGGCGACAGAAGGATCCTGACACGACAAAGCTGCACTTAAAGCTCAGCCTGTAAACTGTAACCTCACAGAAACGTAGACCTGCAAGTTCCTCTCTTATCAAAGATTTGATATCTTGATCGGTAGATCTGATTTTACTTATAGAGGAAAGAACTCAACACAAGCATAGGGTAATATCAGATAGAAATTTGAGGCAAAGGATTGACCCAATACTAGTCTTTTCACCTTTCCTCTAGTGCTACCATCATGACGAGATTTCTCTTACTAACACCACTAACTAGATTTCATGACATTTGCTGATGTTAATAGTTTCTGGAGGATGAATCATTATTTCCTCTAGCGCTAAAGCTCACAAGAAACATCAAAATAAAAACAGGGCTTCAAATGTTCCAATCATATTCCAGCTCCCCAGAGGAGGAAGCTTCTCTGGGCCTCAATCAAAATTTCCAAATTTGAAGTTGTTAGCATCAGAGGCTCCATCTGATCTGCACTCTGATTTATTGTTTTCAGTGAAAGTGATGCAGCCTGTAAAAAAAGCCAAGAGTCTTAAAAAAGGGAAGCAGGTGATTGGCCAGCTTCCTCTCTGCCTTCAAACTAAAATTAGGCCAAGTAAAAGCTTCCAGGATCAGCAGTGAGGAGGTAACATCATCCAGGAAGAGCTCAGCTGGATTCTCCTGTTGGTTTTCCAGCTTGCAGCACTGATCTCTGGTTTTTATATACAGCACTCCAAGTCACTAACCTGATGATTTATACTCGGTACATCTGTGCGTGGAGTTTAGGACACAGGTTTTGTAACTGCATTGAAATCTCTTTAAACACAAGTTACTGATATTTCTGTTTGCACCTCAGTAGAAGGATGACAGACTGTAGGAGAACATTTCACAGGCTGATGAAAAGTTTTCATCAGACATCAATGTTAACATTTTAGTCTATGCTAAAAATTCACGTTATATTAGAATTTTCTTAATTCGCTTTTAAATTTCATTTGTTAAATTTTTTACTTGAATCTTTATAGTTTATTCCACTCTGATCTATAAACTCTTGGTTTTAACATCTTATATACAACACTTTCTACCTCAATAACTTTATAATCTTCTTTTGAAATGCTATTATTAGCACTTTAATTAAATGTCAGCATCATCAGGCTAAAAACAAACCAGCATTGTTGCTCTCTTAATATATTCACTTCTCAACTTGTTGAACTATTTAAACCCTTCACATCCTCCTTAGTCAATACAAATTTAGCTATTCTCAGTGGAACTAAAATATGAATTTTGTCCTGCTGGTGGCACTGGAGAAAAGATTCATTCAAATCAAAAGGGGCTCATCCTCTGCGGAAGAGGAAAATTAAAATCAGGAAATTTCATTTTGACTGATTTCACTTCTTGTGTAGCAAGTAGAAATTTTGGCCGGATGTTGGCACAACAGGAAAGTTCAAGGGGTCAACAAATGCTCTGGGGACCATGAATTTCCACTGATGATTTTATAGACATTTAGCCAGTAGTTCCTGAGGTATCTTGCTTTGGGCCAAAGTGGATGGACATTTCAGATGTAAAAAGGGTATAATGTCTTGTTCAAGCTTGATACATTAACAATAAATATAAAACAAAAATTAGATCAAATGGAGGGCACTGAAAAAGTAGAAAATTATTTTAATTTATTTAAGAAAAGGGGTATAAACACATACAATCAGAAATCTCAGTTACTGAATATCAAAGGTAAAAAGTGTCTGCAGTAGTACAGAGCTGATAAAAACATACACAGGAAATAGTTTGATTGTATAGATCAGGTGTCCGTGTGATGAAGGTTATTGAGAAGTAATATCAAAATATTACCAGATACCAAATAAAAGTAATTTTGGGTTCATGGCTGCACCAAGTGAGCCACGAGATGATGTTTTTTTAATAGACTTTCAGTGTTATTTTATCATCAGTATCAAACTTTTACAGTTCTTCCCTCTCAAGCTCATCAGATTGTTCTTTAGCCAAAGATAAGTGCAGGACAGATAACACAACACAACACAAGTGTCATCCATTAACGCTACGTGATTGAAACATGTAAACTATTTCTATTCAAAACACTTACGTTTCCCTACACACCGTCATACAAGTATCAACCAGACATTGGGAATGATTCACCTAAACACTGTAGTGGAGAATGATACACAAACACTAAAGCTCACAGTCAGATATATACATAATAATAGAAACAGGATGTCAGAAAATAAAATACAAAATCAAAGAGATATTTGATAATCAAATCTTTTGGGCTTGTACTTGTCCAACTGAGAGTCAGAAGTGATTTATTTGATATAAATGAAATATTGAGCCTGAAACTGTTCTGTTTGACATCTTTATAGCCAGCGAATGTTTTTGTGAGATCAAAGCGGAAACCACCTGAGGAGACGACACCTCTTCAGTAATCACCATGATATAAATCTGCGAAAGACACAAAAAGAAAGTTTTTAGTATGCAGATTATGAAGTGGTCCAAATCACTATTTTATTACCATTATATTTGTGAAAGTTAAACAGAATTCATAAAGGGTTCATCAGCTTAGATTTCAGACTTTTTAAGCCACGTGAAGTTTTTTGGTTTACTGTAAATCCATGGGTTATGGGACAGACAGTTTGATATGATATGATTCTGATGATTTTATTTACTGGAATTTTTATTTTTGCCTCAGGATCAAGTTATTATTAAAGATTCACCAGCAGGGCTGGTTAACCGTTTCAAACCAACTGGCCCGGTTTGAAACTTACTGGCCCGAAGACAATTTTTACTGGCCCTTCTTCCAAAAGTTATTCAGTGTTACAACAAAACCAAAGACTTGTAAGTTATGTTATACTGTTAATTTGTTTAATTGGTTATTAAATACATCCTGGATATAAAAAAACTAAACTAAAGTCGCCGTGGTAGTGACCTGTCAATCACAAGGTAGTCCCGCCCAAAAGCATATGCTGCATTTTTTTTATCTATTTCCCCCTAAATAGGAGTGTAATTTACTCAATGAACATCATGTTGTGTTGAAGAATACTTGAAACTAGCGACTGAGACCATAAACTCATTATGAAAATGTTTACTGAGGTAATAATTCAGCTGAGAAGTAGCAATATTTTACCATTACTACTAATGAAACCGGAATTCTTTATGCAACCAGTGGACTCGCCCCCTGCTGGCCGTTAAGGCAAGAATTATACTTTCCGCATCCACGAATACGCTAGGGTCCGCGTGACTAATAAATTATCAGAGGGGTATGCGTAACTGTTTATACTACCTTCAGCAGTCAGCATGGCAGACACGTTCCATACATGCGCAGTAGATCGGTTGTTGCAGCCCGTTCTCATCTCAGGGCGTCATATACCGACGATTTGAGAAAGAGTGACAAAGCGTAGTTATTTGACGTCTGTGTGAGACGCACCGGGTGTGTCTGGAAGCATCTCTATGAGACGCTCTGGGCGTCCCGTACAGACCGGAAGTGCTAGCTAGCTACGTTCGTGATAAAGGTGTTGACAGCCCCCTGAAGCCCCCACCCTTACCACATCCATCAGAAATTTTAGATTCTAAACCTAAGTCCATGAATTTATGCATGTTGACCGGCTAACCCTACAGCTGCTAACAGGTAGGGTTAGCATCCCTTGTGTTGCTGCAACGTAGCAAACGGGGGCATTTCATGAAGGGTACCTGTAGCGTAAAATCCTTACGCTTTGTCACACTGTCTGAAAGCGTCAGTTATGACGCATTGAGATGAGAATGTGTTGCGCACTGGTAGCGCTAGTCCATACCTGCTACAAAAAATGGGAGGCACGCATGGTTTCACTTTCAGACCCAGAGGTTGCCGCTTGATTGAGATTAGAGAAATAACATTTGACAACCACTTGTCAACGTAACTACAGATCTGGATTGGACAACGGTGTGCGCCAGTAGCTGCAAAGCAACTGCAGGATGTTGAGTTTTTCATTTATCGGGCCGATGAGTTGCTAGTTCAACTGTCCCGACGTTGCTTTTACTGGCCCAGGGTCATCGGGCCACCGTTATTGTTGTGCCCTGACTAGTTATCTAGAAAGTTAAAGTGTCCATTTCATGTTTTTTTTAAATGTGAATCATAACCAACAATGGACCAATTTCATCAAAATAGTTACAATAAAGGAAAGGAAAAGCTCATTAAGACGCATCAATATTTAAAAAACTTATGAAACTGAATCTAAAAGAGTTTAATAGAACCACGAGGGATTCACTGCTACTTTAATTAGGTCTAATGTGACATGCAAAAAAATAAAGAACGGGTGCACAAATCGTGACCAGGTCCAGAGTTTAGGTCTCGGTAAGTCCGGGAATTTGGCCTGAACTTTATACTTGATAATTGGAATTGTTGGGTCTCGGTTAATATGACAAATAGTACGGTCTAGATCTACTCTATATGACAAGTGCAAAGAGAAAACTTTAGTTATGAATTGCCGCTGTATCAATAAAACTGAATTTTAATGACTCGGTATTTCTGATTTTTTTCTCCCCAGGGTGCTGAAGCGCTCATGGCTGTCGCTTATGGTGCTGTCACGCAGCCGGGCCTGCTTTCCCAGCAGTACCCCCCACCCCTGCTGCCCAAACCTGGAAAGGACAACGTTCGGCTTCAGAAACTCCTCAAGAGAACTGCCAAGAAAAAGGCCTCCACTCAGGCTTCACAGCCTGCCGCACTTTTCCGCTCCAGCCTTTCACCTGTGAACGAAGCAAGCCCTGACCTTGAGCACAGTGACCACTGTACACCTCCGAGGACTCCAGAGACACCGCTCAGCCTCTACAGCATCCAGCAGCCTCCACGGTTCACCGTCAGGCCGCTGTATCAACATGTGGCCTCCCCTTACCCGCAACGTGCAGCTTATGGCAGAGGAGTGAGGTTCTCACCTCAGACAGTGGCAATGCCGTCGTACACTCACTCGCAGCATGTTAACACTGTTTCTTCATATTCAGCATCGACCCACATTTCTGGAGTCTCACCAGCCTTTTCTGTGCCTGAGGCAACAGTACCAGCAGCTGCAGCTGTAGCAACCCTGCAGCCAAAGCCCACAAGTCCAGGTCTGACTCCTTATCCAGCAACAGGGGGTCAAGCTTTAATTCGTCCTCTCACTGTGTTGACCCCGTTCATAAAATCCAAAAGTCCACGTCCAACATTCAAAGCAACTGAACCTTCAAGATCGCCCAAACCGATGTTTGAAGTCCCTCAAATTAGGATGTACACAGCGAGCACATCGTACTATGAGACATCCAGGACCCCACCAGTGTATGACTCAACTGGATTAACTGCCATTGGTAGCACAGTACCTCAAAGCAAAACACCTGCAGAAACAAAACAAGATTTGTCTCCAGAATCCGAGGTCAGAAAAGGCACTACACCAATAGCAGAAATAAATACAATCTTAACTCCAACGTCTGAAATCAGAAGAGCAACTCCAACGTCCGAAATCAAGAGAGCCACTCCAATGTCCGAAATCAAACGAGCCACACCAACGTCCGAAATCAAACGAGCCACTCCAACGTCCGAAATCAAACGAGCCACTCCAACGTCCGAAATCAAACGAGCCACTCCAACGTCTGAAATCAAACGAGCCACTCCAACGTCCGAAATCAAACGAGCCACTCCAACGTCCGAAATCAAACGAGCCACTCCAACGTCCGAAATCAAACGAGCCACTCCAACGTCTGACAGAGTTAAAACACCCACTCATGAGTTCCAGACATTAAGAACTTCAGCAGGACGGCCTAAAACCCCGGCATACCATATGACGCGGGCTACAACGCCCGTCTTTGAAATCTCAAGACCCAATCCTCTTTTGTTTGCAGTGTCGCCAATCACAGTAGAGCCAGAGAGGTCAAGAACGCCCCAAACTGTTTCTGCTGCAAACAGCTCACTGGATTCCCAAGGTGTGAAGGTTACCGAGCCTAAGCCTAGTGAAACAATACTGAATGGAGACATTAATTCAGGCTTGACACCTTTAGCTAAACCAATTCAACAAAGTATTAGAAAGTCAAAATCAGAGCCTGATCTGACAAGAGAAAAGATCCCAACTGCTCTAGCTGCCTCCCAAAGACTTAAAACTCCAACATCTGGGCCAACACCACCAGTAGTGACTTCTTATGGCTATCAGAGGCCTCTGACTCCAACATACGAGGCCTCCCGGCTTATGACCACATCACCTGGCTTTAAAAGACCAAGGACACCTACATATGGGCCATCACCTTCTGGTGTATCACCTGTAGCCTTTCAGAGACCTAAAACCCCAACCCAAGTGGCACAAAAATCTACTTACCGTGGATTGACACCAGCTGAATATGCCGCTTATGGAGGAATCAAAACCTTCTCTCCAGCATTTGGCATCTCCAGTTTTAAGACGCCAACTGAAGAGGAGGTTAAAACTACAAAAGAGGAATCAGCAGAAGATAAAACATCCAGCCAAGAACTATCTGTGATGGGACAAGTTACGGACGAGGTTTCTAAAGTCAAAGAACTCTCCAAAGACGTGGATAAAGCCCCTCTAAAAGATGAGAAAGTTTCTGCCACCCTCTCAGTCCCTATTATTATTGTTTCACAAGCATCTGACACCCTCGGAACAACATTAACACAAGAGAGAAGTACAGTTTCCAGTCAGGTTGCAGCAAAACAAGAAAAAACTGTGATTCAACAAACGGCAAAGGTGAAACCTCCAACAGTGGAGGAGAAAACTCCTGAGAAACAAAAGGTGGAAACAGCAGTTCAAGAAGTCACAAAACCAAAGACAATAACTCCTGAAGCCAAACATCCTCTGCCCAAAGGTGACGACCAGGATCCTCTCAAGGCAGTAAGAAAGCTTTTGGGCAGAGATAAAGTCCAGACTGCCCAGCAAAAATCAGGAACTCAGACAAAAGCAGACGTCTCAGGTCAAAAAGAGCCAGCAAAAGCTGTCGCTCCCACCAAGACTAAAGCCGAAGGCTCAAAGCCAAGCACGGCATCGCCTGCTCTGCCTGTTAAGATGTCTGCTGCTGAGACAATAAGAAGTGAAGACAAAGGAAAAGATAAGAAAGCAGAATCAGCACTTAAACCTGAGAAAAAGGAAGGCGATGAATCCCTCCCAACAGCCGAGCCCCTTCTTAAAGTCATACAAAAGCCAAAGGGAATGAAATCTAAAGTGAGCGGTTGGTCCCGACTCAAGAAGCACATGGTGGTGGAGCAGGAGGAGCCAAAATTTCCAGAGATAGGCTCTCCGAAGGAGGCCACTGGGCAGGACCAGAGTGAGGTGAAAAAGGCAGACGAGAAGGCCGATGAGAAGGCCGACGACAAGCCTGATGCTCAGGACAAGAACGAAACCAAAGACGCTCCCAAGGCAACAAAAATGTGGGACGCTGTCCTCTTCCAAATGTTTTCCACTAAAGAGAACATCATGCACCAGATCGAATTAAACAAAAGCGAGGAGGAGAAGAAGCAAGAGATAAAGGACGAGCTGAAGGAGATACCTTCATTTGCACACCGGCTGCCTGTGCTGCTGTTTAGTCCAAAGTTTGACGCTAAAAGGCTTAAAGAGGCGGCGTCGAGGCCGGTGACAAAAATTTCAACCGTTTTTGAAATGGGTCTAATTGGGCGTAAAGGTAAAGACGAGGAACCAAAAGACTTTAATAGAACAGCGAGAGGGTTCACGGTTACTTAATATATATATAATAAAAATTGCCAAGACAAAAATGTAAAGAAAAAAGTTATGATATGTGTTTAATGTACAGGGTGCAGAAATCCTAGCAACAGAAATAATGTACAGGTCTGGAATCTTTGTCTCTGTGATAAACTAATGTAGTTTGCGGCAGTGTTATACAAAACTCGGCCTGAAATTTATACTTGACAAATGCTTTGTGTTGCATTTGTGTGCGTTGTTGTCTGGATGTTAAATGTTTGTATTTGTGGACTAGCTGGAAGGAGACAGCTACGTTCGTCTTAAAGTCATTCAGACGTCACATCCGATTAAAGCGTTTATGTTTTAAAGTAGTTTTCGGAGCTTCTGATTTATTCCTTTCATCAACACGTTCACAAGAAATATAGATTGTTAAATTGTGGATTTGAAAACTTACTATTTATATGCAGTAGTTCACTCAAGATTTAAGTGTTTAGCTTAAATTTAAAATTGAGTCACTAGAAGTTTTAATTAAATATTTGTGTTCTTGTAGACAGATTAAATTGAAAAATGATTTTAAGACAAATCATTGGTGTCAGTGTTTCTCGAAACTGATCATTGAAATATCCAGTTTTATTCAAAAATGGTGCTACTTGCCTCAGGGTAAGACCTCTCGGTAGTTAATGGATGTTTATATTAAAGCATGATTTTTTTTTTTTGGCTGTAGATAGTTACATTTTGTGATTGAACTTTCTTAAAGTCACAATGACAGCAACATTTATAGAGCATCTTAATTTCACCTCCTTCCTGTTCAAACAGGATCAAACAGGATGTGGCGAGGCGTAACGCAGGGACGGCTCGATCAAAAGAAATGCACCAATCACATGTCAGCTTGGCACAAAAAGACGGTTTGATTGGATGTGGAGGGGCACAGAGGAGGGAGATTAGATAACAGCAAAAATGGGATTAATTTTTATAGTTTTATCTTGTTAAGTTTATTGCCAATAATGTAAAAAAACAGCAAATGCAACATCAATAGATGAAAGTACAGTATAATAGCAACATCTTTCTCCATTTTAAACAATTTCAACAATCTTAAAGCTTCAAAAGGTGCCTCTTTTCATCTCCTCTCTGATTCGAATAACAGGAAAGAAAAACCAGGTGAATAAGAAAAATCATCTCATAAGCAAACTTCATAAAGTCGAACAGCCTATCTACATTGGAAGTGTTTCAGCTGCAGGCCAAGAGCTGTGTCCGACATCACTCCCTCATTCACTACTCTCTATTTAATCGACATGCACTACTTTACTTAACAGTGAGCGGTAAATTGAGATTCAGGACACTTAATTACTGTCACTTTGCATGCAGAGTTGCACAATGATACATTTTGCATCTATAAAGTGCAGCATGTTGCATTGTGGAAACTGTTAGTGCACTATATAGTGGATAATGTGCACCATGCAGCGATTTCGGACACAGCTAAGCTAGAAACACGTAGAAATGTCTCCCTAATGTTTCTGCTAATATAATTTTTAAATAGTTTAACACAAACAAGTAGATGCTAACAAAATGCTTGATTTCATTGTGACTTGAAAGACGGCCGCTGAGCTAAAAGCTTATTTAAGTTGTTAGAGAAGAACTATGAAAAGCAGCCTCCGCCATGATGGAGGTCAGTGGGACAGTCAACTGTGGGGTCAAAGGTCACGAGACATAGAAAGGTAGATTTAGATGACTGTAATGCAGCGTGAGCTATCCAGTTTTAACACCTCCCGGTGACACTTTTTTCTAAAGTTGTCTGTAATGTGTGTGCAGGAGTTGATTTATTTAGATTCAGATCTAAGAGATTCAAACCTTAATGGGAAGATTTGCTGTGATTCTTCTCTAAGGAGCCAGAACCTGTTGATATTTTCAAAATAAATGCACAGAGTTTCCCTCATCTTGACTTTATCTGTGTTTCTGTGTTGCTCTAATGTTGAAGCAGCTGTTTCAAGATATTTTCGGGAAATATTTTTTCAAACATATTTTTTCCACAAACATTCAGGAAGATTTTTCATTAATTGTCCGTGTAACGCCTATGGGTTTAATTTTCCACAGGAAAAAACAAATTGAAAAAATATGTCAGATCACTGTTAAAATTAAGCTTTTGGATTAGGCAAAGTTTTCTAGCTTTTGGACTTTTGGTGTGAAAAATGGGGAAAATCACAAACAGAATATCAGAGGATCGACACTGATTCCGTCCAAACTAGTTTAAAATCTTAATTTTACATTCATCTGGCAAAAAAAAAGTTTTTATAAAAATACAACTCATACAACTGAGTACGTCTCAGAGCCAAATATTGTACTGTTTGGTACCAAGATATACCTTTTTTTTAAGAGCAAGAACTTTTTGCTTAACCAGAAACAGTCACTATATTGACATCGCCAAAGCCACCAGACTCCCTTGATAAAAACAGTAATTTTACACAAGAGTTTCTGGTCTACCACTGCCTCGGTCGGTTAGTTTGTTTGTGTTATCGTGTGACTTTGTTGTCTTTGTTTTTTTGTGTTATTGTGCTTAAAACCAAAAGGATATTACTCTTTAAAAAAAAAATCTATGTCTGTAGGGATAGTAGGACGTATGGGGCACAATTGCCCGCAAAGATTACATTGCAGTCCTGTTTTACGGCTGCCAACTGGAGAGCGCTCGCTCAATACTGGACCAATTTCCACACAAAAACATGGGAAAACAATGTGGAAAAATACTGAAGTGATTGTACTGTAGTATTATGTCCAATTATATAAAATGGAAACATGACCCTCAGCAGTATCAGTGTTTTTCTTTATCCACTGAACCCCACAAGAGGAATTAAAGTGATAATATGATTTCACACATGAAACAACAAGTTTTCATATCTTGGGAAACATGGAGAGGTTTTAACACTTAAGCACAATAACTTTTCAGCAGCATTTTTCTACTTCCTCTCTGTGTTCTTACCAGACTTTCCGTTAGTGTACTCTCCTCCGGTCTCGTCGTCCACAGGGATCTTCTCATATTTGCCGTGACCAGTGACGATAAATTTGTACTTTTTACCAGCTGCTGAGACCTGAAGAGAGATGAGACAGAAGTTTGTTCATTTTCACTATCATGTATTTATCATCCTGTAAGTATGCACAATAAATATTAACCATATCTTTATCATTTCATATTTGTGTGTGCTCACCTTGGCCCTTTGCCCCGGCTGCCCTGATGAGTCTCCAATCACCTCCCACATGTTCTTTTTCTGCATCACATCTCCAGGCTTCACATCCTGACAGAAATCAATCAGTAATCAATACAAACATGGGCAACATTCTGTGTTCAGAAGATGCATCAAAATGGTATAGTTCAACGTTTTGGTTCAGATATCATGTTTGTGTGTTACAGAGCTGAAGTCAGGACCTGGTTAGCGTAGCTTAGCATAAAGACTGGAAACAATGAGAAACGGCTAGCCTGGTTCTGTTCAAGGTTCAGAAACACACCCACCAACACCTTTCACTAATTAACTAAACAGCAGTTGGCACAGTGACTGTTTGCAGCTTCCTGAAGACTTATCGTGAGGTTGCCAGGTTTTGGCATCATCGTGCCTGAACAGAGACCAAATCTGGCAACCCACAAAGCACAGAAGTACTGAGCGTACTGATCTTTTTTTAAAAAGTGTGATACTTTTTTTTATCTTTGCTGTCAGAGCTTCTGTCTTTCACAAGGTTTAAAATATAAGCTTTTACCTTTCAATAAAAAAACATGTACAATTGAGCACATTGTTTTGAAAAAAAAAATAGATATTTTCTTATTTAATTTTTCCCATGGTTTCTACATATTCTTTTTATTAATTTGAAACACAATTACACAGTAGGTTTGTTAGTTTTCAAATAGTAGAAATGTAGAGAAATCCTTCAAATGAACAGTTTGGATATTGTTTCTTGTTTCTCCACAAGAGGGAAACCTCACATTACTAACTTTGAAGCTGCACCTGAACACATCACATCAAATCACAGTGGTGTCAGTGGTATTCAAATACTTCACTTAAGTAAAAGTACAAACAAAATATAAATATATAATATACTATATATTATAGTATCAGCAAAATGTACTTAATGTATCAATAAGTACTCTTTCTGTAATTCCACTGAAATCTGATTCTTAGCTTAGATTAGCTAGTTTTAACTCCAATGTGTACAATTAGCTAGTTTTGACTTGTTTATAATAGCTAGTGTAATCCAGTGGTTCCCAACCTCTGGGTCAGGCCCCTCTAAAGGGTCACCAGATAAATCTGAGGGGTCTTGAGGTTACGATTGAGGGAAGAAGAAAAAACAAAATTCTAAACAATGTTTTCATATTTTGAACTTCTCTGATCGTTTCAGTGAACAATTGGATCATTTGACCTCTTTGAGCTTGAAACAGTTATTGAAATAAAACCACCTGAGAGGGAAAATATGACAAGGAGTCACAACGAGACAGGCAAAAAAAAGACAGAAAAATGTGTTGTATTTTATAAGCTTCTGATTTATTGTTTAATTTAAAATCTTAATCTGAAAATTAACTATAGCTGCAATAAATGTAGTGGATTAAAATGTACAATATTCACTCTAAAATGTAGAAGCATAAAGTATCATAAAATGAAATTTAAGTTCCTCAATACTGAACTCTTGGTCATTTCAGCCAAGCAATCTATCCACCACAGCATCAAACTACAAATTGAGTCCTCTACCATCACTCCACCAGTTATCTCTCACCTCGACTATTGCAATGCCCTCCTAGCAGGTCTCCCAGCTTGTGCGGTGAAACCCTTACAAATGGTTCAGAACGCAGCAGCGCGTCTGGTTTTTGATCAGCCCAAAATGACAAGTCTGAGCTTAAAAAGAAGAATTCAAGATGTTCATGATGTGTTTGTGACTTACTGCCGGTTTGCAGAGCGACTGTCTGCTGCCGTCAGACGGACCCTTCACCCACTGAGTGATCAGGCTGGCCACGCCTACCTTCAACCCCTCAGTGTCCTGATGCAGAAATAATAAAAAAGATGTTTTGTTTGTGTCTGGGAAGTGTTCTGAAGCAGTTTGGTGAGTTTTCAGTCTGAATCCGGATGAAATTTGCTCCAAATTAAGTGTCTGGTTTGATTAAATTACTATTATTTTTTGTTGCCAGGAGTTAGAGAAGAGGGAGATCCGTCTGCTTCTTGTCAGATTTGCCTGCGGGTCTGCATTCATTTTTACAGTTTACAGTTGTTTACCTTCAATAAAAACACATTCAAAGCCACTTTATCATCAGTTAATTCTGATGTTTCCTGCCGCCTGTGTGTGCAGCCTGTTCCGTTTCCGAGTCTGTGAGCTGCATTAGTGTGTAAACAGACCCTCTTTTGAGGTTTAGTCAGACTTTATGTTTAATTATTGCGTATGACACCACATTAATTACAGTTTCTTTCATCTGTCACAGTGATGCAATCCATGTCTTCAGTACAGTACAGTATTCATCAGACATTGAACAAACAGGAAATACGTCAGCTGTCTTTCAGCAGAAACTAGTTTCCTCTTAAAAATCACATTTTATGGATTAATTTCTCTGTACCTGATGAAGAATTATGGCTTAAAATGTTATTCTGATGACATAGCCTTGGTTTTTAGAAAAACTTAAACTTTAAAAACAAGACAATCCTTGTAAAATTTTGTTGTTAATTCATCTCATTGTCTCTGGTGTTTAGTGCCACGCATTTGCGATACGACCACTGGGAAAGTGACCAAAGTCTGACTTTCCTGTAACGGCGTTAAATAATCCACTTTATTAATTCTTATTTCCAATTTGTGAATTTAATTTATCAATTAATGATTTTGTTGAACATTGGTGAACTTTACCTCAAGGGAGTTCATTTTCTTTTACCGTTATTTTTATTTTTATTCCCCTTACAGTGCCGTTTTTTGCATGGCTGAAGTTAAGTTGCTTAGAAAAATGCTGCTGTGCTAATGGATTGTTTTCTTTGGAAATTTAACTGTTTGTTATAACTTTTAATGCATATTGTTTACAGTTAATACAACTATGTAACTTAGTAGTTTTGTGTTGTTTTGATAGATGTTTTTACCTGCCTTTCTAGGCGCCATTTCTATAACAGCACACAGTGTCATGCGGCCAACATAACACTGCAGAGATTTTAACATCCATTTCCTGGTGCATGATCTGTACTTGTGCATCTTTAGGGAGCAGAGGTGCAGAAAAAAACAGAAGGCATTTAATGGGTTTGATTGCCTTCTGCAGGAATGTGCTTTCTTTAATTGCTATAATTTTTATTGTGTCGGTTTAGTCACCCTTCCCCACACACCTTTTTACTTTGCCCACCAGGTATCACTTTTATCCCTTTTGGAAACCGTTTTTCATTTAATTTGGAGATTTGTTGTCAGAGTTTATGTTCAAGATTTTCCGGGCAATTTTAAAGGCTCTCAGCTAGTGGTGTGCACTCAAAATACACACTGTAAGGTTAAATGAATGTATTTGAATATATTTTAAGAAAAAGAATGATGAAGAATTATGGATTGACATTGTATTGTTGAGGGAGTTGAGCTGCAGAAAGAAACCAGAAGGCAATTAATGTTTTTTCCTGTCTTCTGCAGGAGAAAATAAATGCTGGAAAACCATCTCAAGTCATCCCTTTTTGTGCCCTGGCTACATCTGTTACATTTAAATCAGAGGATTTCAGGACACCAGTTTTTTTAAAGACAGCAGAAAGTAAACCGGGTGTCTGAGTGTTTCCTCACCTTGCAGGTCGCTCCTTTGGTGGGACTTTGGCTCCAGGCTTCTCCGGCCTCAAATAGGTTTTTCTTGGAGGCGACGACCTCAGGTGAGCTAGGCAGGTCGTTCAGTGATGCCTTCACTGCCCGTGCCTCCTGGGAGTTCTGCACAACAACAGCCCTGAGTTAGTTAGTGTACATTACAACCTTGTAATTTTCATGTCTCTGGTAAGACCATGCTCACGGAAACTTCTGCTTGGACAAAATAATCTCGTTCACTCATTTCTGATTAACTTATCACAAATTGATGAGATACTTTCTATAATTCAGACCTAGCGAAATGATATGTTCCTATTTGCTGCAGTGGGAATGTGTCAACCTGTTTCTAATTACAAATCAGTAATTCAACAATATTTTGTAAAAACTGATGATGAATGTCAGCATCTTGAAACAGGAGAGAATAAGTTGCTGCAGTAGAACCTTGATATAAAAAAAATACTTAAAACAAGTTGAAATGCACTGAAATATTGTTTCACTTGTTTAAATAAATAAAGACTTAATGATTTTATGAGATTTTGGTCTTAACATCTTTACTGTTTTTCGATGTTTAAGTCTAATAACAACAAATACAATGACAATAATGTTTCAATTTAAGGACTGAAATATTGATTTTAGCCAAGAGACCATGGGAAAAGAGTTTAGTCTGAAATGCTCCTTATTTCAAATGACTTCAAATTACATTTAAGACATTTCTGCTTTCTCTTGAATATCAACTAATGTAAATAATTTCTTTTACTTTATAGATTATATACAGTATTCCTCAAGGTTTCCCCATAATATATGACTTGTGTTTTCTTAGTTCCTGGACTATTTCATACCATTTTTCACTTCATGGATCTTTCTGGTTAATTATTGGACTTTTTTTCTTGACTGTGAAGCCCTTTCATCATCTTAAATCTTATCAGGAAAAGGGCAGTTTCCTTTTAATTTTTTATTATAAATAAGCTTAAAAAAAAAAATTTAAAATTCAAATTTGCTATTTGATTTTCAGGTTTAGGATGCACGTTATTGTTTATTATTATTGTTTATAATCTGAATTGTTTGTCAATTAAGATTTCATTTAACTTTTTGTTTTGGCACATTTTCAATTGACAAACATACATGGAAATCCATATATGTACCCAAGTTAATGCAATTATTTATTCTTTCTAAATAAAAATCAAGTCTCAGTTTAATTAAACATTTTTTATTTTAGTATCAGCAGCCTTGGACTTCCATACTTTCAAAACACTATATATGAATAAGGTTTATCAGATAGAAAGAGCATTTCAAGACTGGTTTACGGTCAGAATATTCTTTTTTCTTCACACCTGTAATTTCTGTCCTCTGTTGAACTTTGAGTCAAACCTGTATTTTTTTTTTTTTAAATGCTACATAAATAACAGTGTTTTGAGTTTACAACAGGCAGCTCACCGTGTTGTTAATCAGCCTGGGAAATTCCTGAGGGGAAGTGTGAAAACAGGGAAGGGAAGGATATAAATACAGAGCTTTGAATATTGGGTTTTGAAAATGACCATTCACACTTTTACTGGGGGTTATGCACCAGACTATTTCTTTCTTTCTTATTAATGAGCGTCAGAGGTGCTGGTAAGTGGATTTTGTTACTTTGGATGGAGCCAGGCTAGCGGTTTCCCCTGCTTCCAGTCTTTGCGTGAAGCTAAGCTAACCAGCTGTTGGCTGCAGTTTCATATTTAGCGTACAGACAGGAGAGTGGTCTCAATCTCATCTAACTCCATCAGAAAGTTACTAAACATATGTCCCAAAATGTCAAACTATTTCTTTAAAAGGGTCAGAATTGTGACTTGAAATGTCCTGATTGTGTTCCTGCTCCCTAGAGGATTGACCCCTCTCACAACTGGTAAACTCTAATAGCTAAATCATCTGTTAATTCTATCCATTGTCTTCATACTGTGGCTGTAAAGAACACTGTGGCCTCTTGGGGACGCTAGCAGCCCTTTAAACTGCTCAGACTGAGGAACTGAGCGTGAGTACAGGTCAAAACAGTGTGATCGAATGGTGTAACAGGTGTGAATCAGGTAAGAGAATAAGCCCGAACTCGTCCTGAATGCCGGTATACGCTGCTCTGAATGAGTCACAGCAGCACCTGTCTGCTCTGAGCAGTGAGACAGTTTCTCTGCAGACAGGTGTGTTTCTGATGAGTGAAACCAACAGGATGTGATCAATGGGCCTTCTGTGTTTGTGTGCATTCCTGTCTTTGTCTTTGTGTAATTGTGTCTTTCCCTAAAGCTGTTTTTCCCACTTACATTATATGACTTCTGGACAGTTTGTGCAGTCTCCTTTTTATTTACCACAGCCAAATCACCAACTCTACTGTACAGGCATTAGCTGTTGCAAGCTAGCGTGTGTGAGAAGTGTCTCTGGATTTCCATGGGACAAATTTCAGAACTGACCAGGAGCTCTGTCTCTTTCTGTTGTTTGCAACACGTCCTCATACATAAATGACAAAATAGGTTGACTGTCAAGTGTCCCCATAACATCATATGGCCGTTGAAAAATCCAATGAGCGTTTACTGTATCAGTTCAGCAACAGGGTTACTGGACTTTCAGTATAAAAAGTAAGTCACCACTTGGTTAGGTTTGGAAAAAGATTGTGGTTTGGGTTTAAGTAAAGTAACGGAAGTCACATAATGGAAGTCAGTAACGCTTTTTAACTCTACATTTCCTTGATTTCACATGGAACTCGAATGCCGCTCTCCTGTGTGACAGTCGTGGGTGTGACCCATCCACCACCACATCCTACCTCTTTACACGCAACCCGTTCTCATCTCAGGCGTCATATACCCACGCTCTAGACAGCGTAGTTATTTTATGCAAAAGATCGATTTGGTGAGTGTATGAAATGCTGCAGTTTACTAGTGTGTTGCAACACAAAGGAGGCTACCCTACCTGCACGGCCAATGAGCACAGCTGTAGGGTTAGCCGGCTGACATGCATATATTTACTGACTTAGGTTGAGGCACAAACTTGATGGTAAGTTGACTCGGGGGACGCCTTAAACACAAATTTCGCTAGCAAGCTAGCTAGTTAGCGACCGGAAGCGCTACTAGTGTTTCCAGTCTCCTATACACGCTGAAGGGCACCTTTTGCGTGAAATAACTACGCTGTGTCAAGCGTGGGTATATGACGCCTGAGACGAGAACAGGCCGTCACACAGATTTTGTCACAATTTATTATATGTCATCTGAGCTTTGCTACCATCGTATGGCCACCAGAGGATGAACTTTATGGTCGTTACTCTGGTGAGGAGGGGTTTGGTATTATATATTAGTTTTTCTCCTTTTTGCACTTCACGGCACAGGTTCCTGCACCCTGGTGAAAAGTGCATATTTTTTGCCCAAAACTGTTTCAACTATGTGACTTCAGGAACAATCATTCACCTGCCAATCATTCATTGTGCTTTGCATTTCTTCAAAAAAATAAAATAAATCCCAATATATACAATCTTCATTATACTTTGTGCATTTGCAAAGCAAAACGCCTGGAAAACAGAACAAAACTAAATATATAACGACAGTGCACATTTATTAACATATATAACCAACAAGCTCAACGTCATTATGTTCATATCTTATATCATAAGTGCATAAATATAAATGAACATCAACATAAGTTAACTCCTCAAATGCAGTTCATCTATATCTAGTACAACCATCTTTAATCCTTCACCAACTGAACAATATGATCAGGGTCTTTAAATTCTGACCACTTTAAACACCTGCACCAGGTGGCATTTTTTCTCCGAACACATCTTAACACTGTGTGTGTGTTTTAGTGTGTGTTTGTGAGCTTACCTCCACAGCGTGGGCGTACTGCTCCAGCTTGTCGTCGATCTTGGGCAGCAGTACGAGAGGTTGCGTCTTCTTGAAGCTGTTACTGATTCAAACAAAACACAAAACATGACCAGTTAAAATGACTTTAATGTGTTGACTTTCTTACCCTGATGAACCCTTAATTTCTCCTTAAATTCCACCTTAAGTGGTTCTTCACAAGTGTCAATATGTTACTTATGTAGTGTAAATTTTTTAATGTTTTTTATGGCTATATCATTCCACTAAAAGGGAAGTATTATTGTCTTCTGCTTTCATTTCATCGTTTCCCCTAAATTTAGCCGGCTGTATTTGGTATTTTTGAAAACTTTGGGATCTTCACTAGAATTTAAAATGAAAGTTGTACAATTCATGTGTTTCTCTTTCTTCCAGAAACCCCCCCAGTAGAAGTCACACGTCAGAGCAGCATACGTGGACTCCAGGAACTGATGTTGCCTTGTGAGTTTGTGGATCAGCGACTGAAGGTTTATATGAACTCTGCGGGTGAGTCTCTGCAGATGCAGGAGGGTTTCATTCTCTCGCCACCTTCCTCCTCCCTGTGATGCTCCAGATATGAGCTGTACTGCTGGATGATGTCATTCCTTCACAGTGGGGGGGGGGGGGGGGGGGGGGGCCTCATTCATCACCTGAACCGCCAGTTTCAACATGTCTGAGGCGCCGCCGCAGGGCAACAACCGCTTTTAAAAAGAAGGTTAACACCTGATGATGTCATGACTGATGAAGGGAAACGGCAGAGGCGCTGCTGATCTCACACGTTTGGATGGATAGTTTTTATGAGCTGCTTACTTTACTGCTGGAAGGTGCGACTCGGTAATAAAGTTAGAGGATCAGTCTGTCTATGAGTCTAAGAATTCTGAAAAAGTAAGGTAGTTAACGTCTAGCATTTCCGTGGTTCAGGCAGTGTCACAGCTCCACACCGGTTGAAGAGTTGCACGAAAACAGTATAACTGATAAAAAAAATATTAAACACAATGGTGGCAGTGGTAGTGGTGCAATGGATAAGACTCCTGCCTTTGGTGTGAGAGACTTGGGTTCAATCCCCCACTGTGACCCATCCACCAATGTGTCCCTGAGCAAGACACTTTTAACCCCTAATTGCTCCAGAGGCGTGCAACCTCTGACATAAATTGCAATTGTAAGTTGCTTTGGATAAAAGTGTCATCTAAATGTATCCAGAACCTTCTGTGACATGTTATTATGTTGCTCATATATTTCCTGTTAAAGTTAGTTATTTGGCAAAATTTTATTTATTGAACTTTTTAGTTTGCTATAGAAAACTACATAGGCAAACATCAGCAAACTGCTGATTCACCTGAACTTGTTAAATGTTTGAAAAAGTCAGCAATTATTTATTTCTTGAAGGCAGAGCACAAAGTTTAGCATGCAACAGCCATGCTAGCAACTCTGTGAGGCTGAACTAATTGAGCTAAATGCTAATGTCAGCATGCTAACATGCTCATAATGACTGATGTTAATCGTCTGTAATGTGTATGTTCACAGTCTTAGTTTAGCATGTTCACATGCACAAAGTGCGGTTGGGGATGAAAAGTACTGATAGTAATAAAGATAATAAAAAGTCAGAAGATCACTTAAGTTATTACAGTTCATCCAGAGGGGTACCTACATTTCTGAACAACATTTCGTAGCAATCCATCCAATAGTTTTTGAGAAATTTCAAAATCTCAAATGTCAATAAGATAAGAAAGATATAACTTTATTAATCCCCCCGTAGGGGAAATTTAGGTCAACATAGCGGCACAAAGGAATATAAAAGAACAGATGCAATCTCGGCGCTAGTGGAGAAGTCAGTGGAATACCAAAGTCATTAGGATTCCTTCTCTGGGGACCTTCTTTGCTTTTACAAAATGTCACTGCAATCCATGTAGTAATATAATAATAGTTGAATAGTTGAGATATTTCAGTCACAGTGGTGGACCGACCAACATCAAACGGCTAGCATTATAAATTAAAATAAAGTAGTTGTGGCCAATATATTAGCAAACAGCAGCCTGTGTTTATGTCACCTGATTAATATTCACTCTCTTTTAGGTCTCATGAGGGAAATATTTACATTTATTCATGTAGCTGACGCTTTTATCCAAAGCGACTTACAATTGCTACTTACAATTGCTATACATGTCAGGGGTCGCACACCTCTGGAGCAACTAGGGGTTAAGTGTCTTGCTCAGGGACACAATGATGGATGGGTCACAGTGGGGGATTGAACCCAGGTCTCTCACTCCATTGCTCCATCACCACCCAATATCTCTTTTTTTAGCAGCTAAATGTGCCACTATGTTCACCAGCTTGCTGTAAATCAACTTAGGACCTACAAAATAACATTAATCCAATATTAAATCAACATATTACTGCAATTGTTATATAAAACTTTGGTAAATACCTGCTGATAGTAAATGCTACCGTGGCTTCTGTGCTAACATGAACATGATGCCAGACTGGATCCTTGTTTGTGTCTTTTCTGTTTAGTCTTAGGACTATCTGAATGCTCCGAGAGGAAACATGTATGGGCACTAACGCTGCTGGAGTCAAATGTTCAGCTGCCTGCTGACATCATACCTCCTCTGAACACTGTCCCTGTTCCTGGTCCAGTTATTTTAAAATACAAGCGTCCACACAGAGGCTTCACTCCTGCTGAGAGCTCCTCAGAGCAGATAACTTCCTGCTGCAGACTGCATGGAGCCACCATACCTCACCAACCACCAGAGAAAACACAGCCGCCTGCATCTGGACGGAGTTAAGCAGAGCCATAAATCACGGCTAAGGAGGGTGATGCACTGAGAGAGGGTGGAGACCTCCGACCCTCTTCATCAGTGTTCAGAAAAAATGTGACCGAGAGAAACCCTGAGCTGCAACTTACTTGATTGACAGAAAATTAATCCACAACAGCAGCGATAATCACTTTTCAATCCAAATACCAATTATTCTCTGGCTCCAGCTCCTATAAATGTGAGCATTTGCCCCTTTTCTCCGTTTCATTTCATTGTAAACCGAATATCGGAGTGTTGTTCAGACAAAACAAGACACATGAAGACGTCACCTCATAAGCTGCAGCTCTATCTATCTGTTTTGTTGAATTGATCAAAGGCAGTCTGCAGATCTGTATCACTCCTCAGCAGTTAAACTTCATTTTGTCTGTCCCTGCTTCACAACGGTGATTTAAAACAAATGTGCACAAGTTTATTTCACTTTCAACGTGATATCCCCAAATTTCCAAAACATACCAATATGAACTTTGGGGCAAATGTTTCTAAAATGAAGCACCCAAAATGTTGCAGTAAATGACAACTTTAGCTGTAACAGTGATCCGTTCATTGATGATATTCACCTTTTCTTTAGCGAGCGGTTCAGCGACTCCGTTCTCTCTGTGATCTGAAAAAAAAAGAAGAAGTAGTCTGAGGTAATTTTTCAGAGGAACGCAGGAAGTTTTTCATGTTGCTGCCTCTGTTCAGAAGTGTGTTAATCACAGCTCGGCTCTGCTCAGACCGCCACGACGCCGTCCAAGACAAACCGAGCTGAGTCTGCTGGTCTTCATCACACAGCTCCCTCAGAGGAGACCGAAGGAACGGGCAGAGGATGATGGGAAACAGAACAAGAGACTGATTTGAATGGTTTCTGATGAAAATAACTGTTTTCTTAGCTTGTGGTCAGGTGTTTGATATAAATTTAATCCCATTGTTGCATTTTGTATTTCTTTCAAACCTTTCTGTTCATTTTCAGTCGACCGACAGTCTCTCTTTGAATTTCCTGTACAGGAGGTGCCTTCTAATTTTGAATTTTCTAAAAATGTCGCCCCCAAGGATTATGTTGCAGCCATTTGGATCACAAAATAGGTAAAAATATGGCCATGGCTTAAAAATACTTTTTAGTATGAGCAGCTCTTCGAGGCAGTGTGCTGTTTGGACCTGTACTGCTGCTGCAGTTGTGACTTGTTTGTCACGTGTGTGTGAAAGTTTGTTTTGTCACAGACACACAAAGGAAGAGGTGCAGGTGAACACTTCGACCTCAGAAGCTGTCCAATCAAAATCATATACATAGCTGAGGCATTCATGTAGATAAAAATATGTGTAAAATTTCTGATTATGCTAACCTACCTGGCACCTGTCATTTAGTTTGATGTTATTAGCCTGATGTTTTGTAATGTGAAGTATGTGAAGCCGTTTAAATCACACAAATACATGTGGTGAACATTTTATCTACATCTACAGGTTTATCCATCAGCAATCTACTTGTGTGAAACCTGGGTATGAAAAACACATCTTTGAGGTAAAAAGGAACCAGCTGGACTCATAACATGCAGCAAAAAAGCATCAAAGACACTGTGGACGAGAGTGCGGAGATAAGACGGCATCAATACCCTGAACAGTTGAACACAGTCACAGCCCGAATGCTTCACACATATTCTAACTTTTCTACATTTTCTACATACTTTCTAGTTTGAATCCCTGAGTTTTAGTTTTAAATGTGTTTTTTCCGTTTATTCTTTTTTATGTGTTCTTCCTTAAACCATCTGTCTGTAAACATTGTGTTCAAGGAGGAAGAAGAAAAGCTAGAAGGTGCAGAAAATCACATGCAGAATCATGCACGTGGACATTTCCATCAAACATCACTGATTTAACATCCAAATATAGAGTCTCCCGAAGTCCTGACAAATGTTTTCTTTCTTTAAATCTTGTGCGCGCAAGATCATAATTTATCATCCTGTGCCCAAATGATCTTGTAAAAGGCCTGTCCCTTTTACTGGCCTGGAGTGGCTGCACGTTTTGACAATAAACGCAGGTTCAGTTAATCTTACAGAGACAATTGAGATTGGTAAACAAGAGATAAAAAAAGCCAAGTTTTACGGTATAAACTTGTGGGCACAAGATAAGAAAATATTATTGTCCAGGACTTTGGTGGCTCTGTTTTAAACTGTGAAGTATGAGGTAAGAGGCCATCTCCGAGGTCACGGTTCACAAATCAAACTCACACACCAAAACATTTCAAGTATCAGTGAGCTCTCTGATAACACAACATGCTTCTCCTGGTGCAGCCAGGACACGCTGGCCTTTCAAACACACACACACACACACACACAAACGTGCAACTTACAAGCTGAGCCTGAACCCATCGGCTGTAAAGATAACACACAGTTATTTATCACTGAGTTTGTTCACAAAAGGGACGTCATTGTCAAGTCACTCAGTAATCTTTAGAGGTTAATGAAACTTAATGAATTACAACCCCAAAACAATGAAACCTATTTTTCCCAGAGTCCTGTCTGTCTGTGTATCCAGATAGTCTCTGTGTGATGTGAAGTTATCAGCAGCAGCTCAACCAAAACACATTCAAAGCTGCCAACTCGACTGGATCACCAGCTGTTCACGAATCCATCACTTCATTGTGTTTATATTTTTTCCACAGTTTTTTGTAACTACTAGACAGTTTGAAACTATTAAATATAACTATATCAGGTTGCACCCTTAAGTGTCTTAGCTAGTAAGCAGTTAAGTCATGTGTAAATTGGTTTTTCATCGTCATCATCTTTACCGTCACTTCATGCTCACTAATTCTGCTCAGGCGGCAAAACTGGAGCTCAGAGTCCAAATATACAGAAGCCCCAAGCGGCCATCGATTCATATCTTTATTTTAGTGATAATGGGAAAATTATCTCATGATCTCGAGATAACGGCTGTTGTTTTTCTCGTGATAACGGAATAATATTCTCGTGATCTTGAGATAACGAACCATAGCTGAATACAGGGGTCGGCAGGTGCGTTTCTTTACCGTAATTTCATGCCACTTTGCTGAGTCAGTAGTTAGCTCAGCTGATCAAGTGCATGACTTGCAATCCAAGGGATTCCAGGTTTGACCCCTGCTCTCTGCAAAGTTTTTTATTCTTCTTTTGTGTGTTTTTTTAATAATTCTCTTCAACAAAGTTGTTATGAAGAGATTCAGGGGAATCCAATCACACATTTCCTGACGGCTATTTCAAAGGTTCTGAAATAGCCACAGGAATTTGTGCCTTACCAACTGAGCTAATCAACAATACTGAGACCACCTGTCTTCTTGCCAACCTGTGTTAAACTACTGTATCTCCAGAAAAGGATCCCGTTATCATGAGATAATTATCCTGTTATGAGATTTTGATTTTGATATATACTTTAGTAATCCCACGAGGGGAAATTCAATGTTTTCACTCTGTTATTGATATGTTAGTATTTTACACGCAGGTCCGAAAGACACACACACTAACAGCTACCAGTCTCCACGCTGCAACTGTGGTCCGAGCTGGATTCAAACAGGCAACCCTCTGGTTTCCAGCCTAATCCTTACGGACTGAGCTACTGCCACCCCATTACGGGTAGACGGAGTAAAATAAAGATATGACTCGATGGCCGCTTAGGGCTTCCGTACAAACATTCACACTAGAGGAAAACTCTTATTTAAAGATGAAAGAATCCATTTTTGTCTTGCTAGAACAAAGATGTTGAACTTGTGTGAACAACATCTGCGTTTGAATAATCTAATCCAACATTTTACTACAACAGCTAACGCCAACGTCAATAAATGATTTGCCTGTTCAAAACTTTTCAGACGCAGACTGCTTCAATAAATGTAGTTGAAGCTTCTATTGGTGATATTTACCTTGTGTGTGGGAGCTTTGGGATTGACGGGACTGAACATCTCGTCTCCGTCCACGTTGGACGTACTCAGGCTCTTCATCCTCTCTGCTGCCTCCATCCTCCTCCTCTCGATGTCCTCCTTCATCCGCCTCCTCTCCTCCTGGGAGTGTCGGGTAACAAACACTGTTCAACTCCACATTTCTAATCTCATCTACATTGGTCTGAATGCTAATAGAGGGCACTATAACTCGACATCTAGCTAAATAATTACACATATCTCATGTTATCTTCTGACAAGCTTGTTTTGAGCCAACTAGCATGTTAGATAACAGCTGACATCCAGCAGACATGGAGCAGCATTATCATCCCATTAGAGTGATTTTTGTTTTTTGAAGTCCAATATTTCCTCTAGCTTTTAGCTCTGTTTTGGTCTCTCCCAACTCCTGAGAAAAATCGTTGTCTCTAGCTTCTAAATGCTCCACTGTCTCTGTGTTTGTTGTACACCAAAACTATGAGCTAAAAGAGTGTAAAGGTGGTTATAATTCTGTATGTTTATCATTATGAGTAACCCAAATGTTATTTGATCAATTGTTACACTATCCTGATTTTGTGGCAGCACCCACAAGCCTAAAAAAATACCTCACAGCTCAAGACGATGTTCTCAGTCTAGTTTGAAAGCTTTGGAGTAGATTTAAGGATTTGACAGAGCTGTTGGAAGCTTTAACCAAATTAGGGAGTTTATTTTTCACAGCAGTGGCTCATAAACTCTATGTTCTTTCACGAGTAAAGCAGCCAATAAGGTTTTTCACAGACAATTGGACTTTAGAGGAGCTTTTCTTCTGCTAAACTTCACTAAAAATAATCTTGTGTTTGACCGGAGGTGGTTTCCTTAATCCAGCAAGTCCTTCTTGTAGTCATGTCTACATATCTAATACCTCCGCAAATATTTTAAGCCTTTCATGACGCATGGTCACCTCCTCTTTGGCCAGCCGTTGCTGCTCCTCCTCCTCCCTCCGACGCTCCTCTTCCTCCCGGACTCGACGTCTCTCCTCCCTCCTCCTCTTCAGCTCCTCCAGCTCCTGCTCGGCCTCGGCCTGTCGGAGTCTCAGCTGCTCCAGCCCCTGGCTTTCCTTCTGCTGGAGGCTCAGCCGGATTTTCTCCAGACGCTGCTCCGTCTCCAGGATGGCCTCCGCCTCCTCCGGCTCCATGGCTCTGCTACACACAACAGGGAGGCTTAAAATACTAACTGCTGTTATTAATGACCTGAACTGAGTCTGTTAGCTTCGTGTACAGCCCAAACAAACTGCCCATGTCACACCATAGCCACTTCCTGTCCGGCATTTAGTCCTTAAGAACCTTATTTGAGTGCTTTGGAACTGGACAGATTGACAATGGAAAGTTTCTATGAATGTTTGATATTTGACACTTTGTTTTGCCATGACTCTGTGTTGCCATATACACACACAATATAGACTAAACTTTGTGGACACCCCTGTCCACATACTGTAATCAAAGTTGAATCAAGCAAGTTATCTCTGAAAGCTGAAACTGAATACTCCTCTTTTGTCATTTTCTCAGATAAACCCCTGCATTGGCTGATAAAAGTTAAACATTTGTCATTTTCACAAAGTTAAGTAGCCACTTGAGCCACAAATAAAACACTGCACACCTGGTGGACCTTTTTGTCTTGTTGATCACGTATGACGTCACTTCCTCATTGGTTGCGTCTCCATTGCTGTGTTTCGGCTCTTGGTGAAGGAAAACCTTTGATGTGTAGGAGATTTTAACTTCTTTTCTTTTCTCCACCTGAAAAGTTAAACATAATTAATCTTCTTTTCATACATTAAGACCTGAATTTTGACTAGCAAATTGCTTGTGACTTTGTGTTTTTTCCTGAACGACTTTAAGACCTGACTTGGACTTTGAGACTTGCACAGGACATTTTCTAAATGACTTGAGACTTGACTGGAAAATTCGCTCTTGTTTTGAATGATTCCAGACTCAAAATGAATTGAAACTGAACTTGGACTTGTCTCAGATAACTTGAGATAAAAACTGGTTTCTAATGACTTGAGACTTGACTATGACTTGTCTCGAATAAACTGATACTTTACTTGTCTGAAATGTTTGTCAGACTTGACTTGGACATTTTTTGTCTTAAATCATTTAAACTTGACTTGGACTTACCCTGAAGGTCTTGAGAACTGATCTGAGACTTGTTTTGAATAACTTGAGACTTGGACTTGTCTTTGGCTCATCTCAAAGGACTAAGACTTGTCTTACAAAGATTGACCTTGACATGTTATGAATAACTTGAAATATGACCAAGTATGTTTGAGACTTCAGTTATTTGAGAAATCCTTACCTCTGCATTCGGCCTTTGAATCTCCTCCTTTCTCCTGGTCATCACCTCCTCTCTCTTCCTCTTGTCCTTCTCCTCCATCTCTTTCTCCCTCCTCACCCTCTCAGCTCGAATTCCCTCCTTATCAAATGCCTTCCTCCTCTCCATCTCCACCTTGGTGTTTTCTACCTCTTCCTGCTCCTGTATCTGGAGTCGGCTGGAGGATGTGACCAAGGCCTGGATGGTCTTTTCGGGTACAGCTTTGTTTATCGTGACAACCTCTTCTTCCTCATCCTCCTCGCCTCCCTGGTTGAGCTCCTGCAGGCGCTGCTGCCTCCTTCTCTCTCTGCGCTGAGTCCAGTCGCTGAAGCCTTCATCCTCTTCCAGAGACGGACAGCTGTTTGGCTTCAGACTGCCGTCGTACCTGAGGATAAGATGGGAAAGGAGTCAGGATGGCTTATTGACGGCAGTTAACTGATCAGCAGCAGGTGGTCATGGTTTCAAACTATAATAAACTCAGCACTGGCAGACGTTATGAGCAACTCAGTTTTTAAATAGCTCATAGAAATAGAAGACTAAACTACAAATTACATCAGCAGGTCACAGTATGGTGTCATCAACAAAGAAAGACACATTTTGCTTGTGCTTTTAATCACAGGATAAACACAAAACCTATACGATAATGATCTAAACACATAATCGTCTGATTATATCATTGTACTTTAGTAGGAAAATAGTATGGTTCTTTAAAGAAATTGAACAAGATTTTTAATTACTTCCCTGAAACAAAATATGTTAGTTTACCCAACCGGGTTTGTGTGGATCCCTGAGCTCCATGACAGTTTTTAAATAGATTTTTTTTCTTGATTGAGAATTGCTGCTCTAAATGATACATGCTCTGTTCTTATGCTACTATCTTTTATTTAGATCAGATGACTAAATGTAAAGTAAGCCTGGTTTGACTTTACTGTACATATTACTATTAACTATAAGTTAATAACAATGGAAGTTCATAGTTAACTGTTTGAAAATAGTACTACTGCGTCCACCCTGCTGTCCTTGTCCAAGTCCATTTCAGAGACCCTTCATTTAGTTGAGATGAGACACTCATCTGCTGTTTGAGCACTTCAATTGCTTTAGTTTTCACAGGAGTCTTTCTCCTGGTGGAGGTTTAACTTGTTGATTTTACTCCTGAAAAGCTCATTAGTCCCGAGCTAAGTCATTTTAGAAGTGACAGTTGAGCTCCTAACAGCAGGTCTGATCTGGTCTGCAGGAGCAAAGAGTTTCTGTCCGTCAAAAGGCATTAAGTGATTTTAGTAACAAGCCTTTCAGTGCCTTAGTAAACAAAAGGCTTTGGACTGGCTGCAGGGAGGCATTCACTCTGGAGCCCAGGACAGTGCATAGAAAATAGCACTGTGCAGCACAAGTTAAAATAATTTGAAATCAGGATATTCACAACTACTTGCCAGATTACCACAACATCTGGTGTGGATATTCTCGGTCCCCAGAGGATAGACTGCTCCTCCAACACCACTATAAAAACAAAATGTTTCACTTGTACTCAAGATAAGCCAAAATCTAACAGTCAGATTGCCATTTCCACCTGGATGTCCCCCCGAGTGTAACAGCTGAAATGTATCAGTGTCGTCTGTTGGATCCAAACCCGTCTCTTCACTGAGTGGGGTAATACATTTCTCCACTGATTAGCTTCTGTAATCACAGAGCTATTAGTAGCTGACAAATGAATGATTAGTCTCCACCGCAGCTGAAATAACAACTAGTAAAAGCAGAAAATGGAAACTGGCCCATAGAGGGTTTTATCACTTGGGATTTGCTGAAACAAATTATGCTTTCAGAAAATCTCTTTATCCATTACTCATCATAAGTTCACCAGACTAATGCAATGTATTGTGGTTACTCACTTGCGTAGGTTCTTGCACAAGATGATTTGAGTCAGAGAGAGAAATTTCTTCATAAGTCACATCATTAGAAAATAACCAAACCTGAGCAAGACCAGAGCACAATGTTGTACGTAACAAAATGTCTCAATGCTGAAACCCACTGAGTCGGCTTCAGACCATTTTGGACCAGCGGTTCACTTCCAGTGTGGAACATTTGGACACGTGACATATCTGCAGCCCATCAGTGTTGCCGGTGCTGTGGTCTCAACAGAGGATGTGTAGAGTAATCATCCATCAACACTGAGGCCTCTGCAGCTCTTCACCTGCTTCCCTTTGCACGCAGGTGCAAAAAACAGCCACACAGCTGCAACACGCAGTATAATCTAACTCATTCTTATAAAAGGTTTGAACTTTTATTTAAATATTAATTAAGTGTTGAGAAAGTGAACTAACAATTGGACAAATTTTCAGCAATTAGCACAGAATCTCCTGCTGTCCCCCCCTACTGAATAAACATAATGAAAGTGTGTTTTGTGTTCCCAGGAGCTGGCAGAAAGGAATTCACTCAGCATTCCCCAGATGATTAAGACGCCGACGGAGCCCCTGCTGCATGGGAGTCTCGGCCTGATGTCTCAGCAGCTAATCATCATTAAACGAGCAGGGACGTTTCTGTTTGGGCTGTAAAGTCAACACCTGGACAGATTCCTGACAGGAACAAGTCAGTCGGATATCTTTTGATGATGAGACACATCCGTCAGGAAACAACCTCCACCTCCTCTCTGTTTTAACTTGTATCAATCCGCTCCTCATAGTCTCAGCGTCTGTTGCAGGATTTCTGTCGTCAGTTATTTTCAAGTTTTCTAAATGATCCTCAAATAATAAAAATAAAATAAAATCAACAATTTTATAATCAAACATCTAAAAACCAAACCATAATGTGTTTTACTTACATGCCAGCAGTTAGTTTTTAATAATATATATACATTCTTTCAAAACTTTTCATGTTTCGTGTTTGTCTTCTACTTGAGCACTCGTAATAGTTGCAACAAGTAACTACAAACTGATTTCTACATTTGTGCACTGTTTATGTTCAAATTAAACAAACGTGCAACGTGTAACTTTGTGAGCTTTAGAAACAAAGCCAGGCTAGCTGTTACTCCAGCTTTATGCTAAACTAGCCTAACCACATCCTGAGTCCCTGTAATTCCTCTCAAAGTCCATGGTCTTTTGATTGGCCAAGATCTGAAGCATGTTACCAGGCTGTTCTTGTCGCTGGGCGATACAGACAGACTGAGCGTTGCTGTGCCATTGCTGTGCGAGCAAATGACCATATATGGAATACCGGCTCCATCTGGCTCCGTATTACGTAGAACGGAGCTGTTGGTAGAAAAAGCAGTTGAAAACAGAGCGTTCAGAACAGGAGGAAATCTGAGGTTTTCGCTCACAGGGATTTCTTTTAAATACTTTTACCTCATTATGTGAAGCCATGAGCTTTGGCCATGTTTAACATGAACATCTAACATTGTAACATTGTAGATAAGTCATAAAATATGGAAAAGCATAATAGGTCTCCTTTAACATAATGTTAATAATCTCTGACCACCACAGAGAGCAGCAAAGAGCACAAACAGTCACAGAATCTAGCTACTGCAAAAGCCAAAGCCAGCTTTAAAGCCATTAAACACTGGGAGCACCAGCCAACATTTTTATGTACGAAGTAGAACTAAAGGATGAGTGATTTTAAGGATAAATCTGGTGATTTGTTTTTGGTTTGTTTGAAGAGAATTTAATTTCTTAAAGCCTATTTCATTCTATTTATGGTATCTAGTAGTAGCCTACAGCAGTTCTTTGTATGAATGTTTGTAAAACGTATATCTACCTACCTTATGCTTGTTTTGTGTAATTTGTATGTGTTTTGTAACTTAGTATCTATTTATAGTTCCAAAATATCCCATAAAAAGTCAAACTAACAGTGAATGCATCTCGTAAAAAAGCCTGTGTGTGTCTCAGAGCCTGATATCTCTTCTTCCTCTGAGCCATCAATGAGCCTCACTGGTGCACTGGGTCACATGTTCCTTCATCACCATGAACACACACACACATACTCTAGTTTATTCTGACTCAGTCCCACATACACCGTCCTGCTGCCCCAAACCTCCTCTTTGTTTGATAAAAACTAAACCAGCTATTTTAGGTAGTTACTGAGCCTTTATTAAAAACTATGTATTTGTGAGGGTTTTTTAAAGATTACCTTAAAATCAGAAAGTATTGAAGGACGGCCAAACGCATTTTTGGTTGATCCATGGCCAGATATAGAGTTATGCATGTAACTTTTATTTTAACATCTCCTGGGCAGAAGCGGTTCAATTCAATCAACATGGATGAATTCAGCACTTGACCTCCTTGGAGGCAGGAAATCATACAGCTAACTTTGCAAAAAGTAGTTTCAAAACAGCATTACATCACTGCTTCGTCTTGTACAGAAGACTTCTCAATTACAGGCTGCAGTGGAGCTGCCTCATGCCGAGTCACCGCAGCCCGACACCAGCTGAGCCTGTGATGTGACCGAGGAGAAGGTGTTGGAGGTGCAAGCTGTATTTATGAGTCTTAAATTAAAATTCGGCTCAAACGCCACAAGCTTTGACATAATGGTGGTTTTCATCAAGACATTCTTTGGCAGTTGTGTAATGTGAAGGCAGCTGTGTGTTCGTTTTTCAGAAAGGCGGGAGGGAAGAGGTTGTTTGCAGCTTTTCCCAAGGGAAACGTTTGTTTTATGTAACCAGACATCCGTGAAACGCCATAAACTTGCGAGCGTACGACGAGCAGCGAGGAGCAAGGAGCTTTGAGTTTCACAGCTGGGAAACATGACGACACACTTGCAGTTATCACTACAAAAAAATAACACAGTCAGACAGTTAGCAGCTTGTACAGGAAGTCGTGTCGTGGGACCTGAGGGAAGTGAATGAATAATGTTCTGCACCTAATAGCTTCCTGGGTTCTCATGATTAAATGGACAAGGAATTCAACAATGTCATATTTGTAATTATCCTCATTTCTTTTAAATCCTAAAAGAAACATGACAACTTTTAAGTCACTTCTCAAAACCTCTCTTTAAAAAAAAAAAGCTTTGTGGTTTAATGACAAACCAAGGTAAAATTCCCAGCTAGTATCAACATTTAAAATTTTAATTATCATGAAGAGTGTTCAAATATCACACTTTTAAAACACTTACTGTAAAAACTCTCCGGCATCAGCCAAAATTACTCCAGTCTCCCAGACCAGCATGTGTAGCATGCAACGTGGGTTTGGGAAGGAAGGAAGTGACAGCACTCCAGAGATTTTTCAGCCTGTCTAAAGTGTGGTCGTTATTGGAAAACTCTTTATAGCGAATGCAAGGTAAGTTAACTTTTAGCTCAATGCATGATGTGGGGACTTGATTGAGGGAACATGTCATGGTTTGTCCGTCTGACTTGTGAAGTGAAGCTGTCAGTGTTACTCTGGTAAAAACACTACACAATGTTTTGCTGCTGTTTGTGTCATGTGTCTGCAGACTCTGTTCCTCCATTGCACATGATAACATGCACCTTTAGGCCATTTTCATACTGTTTCATCTCTAATTTTAGTGCTTGCACATTGCCAACAAATGCTTTAATCCTGGTTCAACCGTGTGAAGCACTTTGTGACTTTGATTTGAAAAGTGCTGTATAAATAAAGATCATTAGTATTATTAATATACGTGGACTGTAAAATAGCACTTTTGTTCTGAATGCCTCTCAGTGTGTCAGTACTTACATGCTCTCCTCTGCCGGCGTCTCATTTTCCAGTGAAGACTCTCTGGGAAGCGAGCCGCCGTTTGACCAGCGCAAAGACTCACGAGCTCTTCGACGGCGCTCCCTCTCCACCTCCTCAGCATCCTCGATGCTCCTCTGAGCCGTCAGCCTGGAGAGGAAGGAGCACTTGGTACAGTTAGCAAAAGGTGGGAAGCACCAGTAACTTTACTCCAGTTCTGTAATGAAGTCAAACTCAAATGCATCAGTGCTTTCCTTGCGTCCCACCGTTTCCATACAAAACCACAAATCCTCTTAAAAGCAACTATTTTTCATCTCAATGACACAGCTTTACAAAGGGAAAAGCTCATATCTACAATTTTGGGGATGAATTAAAGTGGGCTCAATGAAAATTCCCAGAGCTGGAGATACCAGATTAAAGGGAAATCCCTTAGATGTCTGGAAACCTACAGAAGTAAATCACTTAAATGCAGTCTTTTACACATAATGAGTACTTTTCCACTGTGGTATTATTGCTCCTCAGTCATTCATCACTGGTGGTTGGGAAACAATAAAAGCTTAAATGAGAAACACTTGTCATGAATCACAGACGACACAGAGTCCTGACTCCTCCTCGCTTTTCTTAACAAAAGAGTCTGTCAGGTCGTGAAGAGATCCGGAAAATCTGACGTGCTGCGGATGAGAAACGACACCGGCTGTTTATCTGCAGGATAAACACACGTGCTCTTCACCTCGTGTAAGCGTGACATCACAGCATTTATTATGAACACTGTTAATCTATTTATCCAGAGACGTGCCAAACACGACCACTCACACAGGCATGAAAGCTCTGACTCAACAACGCCCTTCAGATCCAAGGAAGGAAGGAAGGTTGAAATGAAGGGCAACTGGACTTGGTTAAAGATACTTGCAGACATTTCGCCTCTCATTCAGGAGGCTTCTTCTATTCTCAATGACTGGCAGGGAGTCCCGCTCGGTTTGTTTGTACTCCTGGCTGTTGTAACGACAGTCATTGCGGTTGTTGGAGTTACATGAGCCTGAAGCTGATGATAAACGGGGCAACTTTTTGAGCAATTGTGCAGGGCAACATTGCAATGGTAATGAGTAAAGATTACTACCGTAATCTCCTTTCCCCACCACTCTGCCACCCGCCCCGACCCGCCCCTATCTGTTCAAAACATCGTCGGACTTGCCACTAGCAAGATTGCCCAGCAACATTGCTCAAAATTGAGTCTGAATGACCGTTTTTGGAATTGCCAGATGAAGCCAACTCCTCAGGCCAAGACTCTGCAGTTTACCTACATTTGAAGGACAAGAGACACACAAAGGGAGGGAAAAATCCTGTTTACACCAGCATGGAGGTACCATCTCTCAACAGGGGGATGGCTAAAACACCACTTATCCCCCACCTACAATTCTGTCCTTTCATCTCTTCACAGGCGAGTGAAGAAACTCTCACATTAGGCCTCAACGCCAACATCGGTCGTTCAGACTATGAACACAGCAACTGTCGTTACAACAGTCAGGAGCACTAACAAACCAAGAGGTATCCATCACACTGATAAGGCGGTTAAATAGCTAGGATTCTCTACCAGCCAGTCAGAAGCCTCTTGGATGAGAGGCAAAACGTCTTCAGGTATCCACTACCCATGATTTTGACCTTCCTTGGATAACTTTGACCTGGATGACTGAGAATCTTCACAAACAAAAACGGGGAAAAAGGGATATCTGGATAGAATATATAATAATTGATGGTTTGGTTGCCTTTCTGTGTGGAGTTTGCTTGTTCACGTGGGTTCTCTCCGGGTGCTCCGGCTTCCTCCCACCATCCAAAGACATGCAGGCTAGGTTAATTGGTGTCCTTGAAGGAGTTTGAGAAGCAACCTGTGTTTTGTATGTGTTAACTTTTCTGAGAAGCTTTTACATAAATTTTGAGCACATCAGATACATGATACCTCAGATACCTGGTCTGTGGCTTGTGTTGATGTTGATCGTGTTTCAGCCTCAGCTGAGATTAACAGGTCAATAAGCTCCATGTGTCTGCTCAGGTGTCAAGTTACTAAACTCACATTTGGCTTCTGGGTCACTAAATGATCCCTAATGGCTCCAAGACGCCATCTGTTCCTTCACTTTCTGTAACAGATTGATGTAGGTGGGGCAGGCTGTGACCTCTGATCCTCATCAACTTTCATCTTTACCCCTTTTTAGGTTCAGTTTAGAACTACAGCGTCATCTCTTCTCTCTGCTCTGCTTTGCGTTTTGGTTTCAGTATGAATTCCTACTCGTCTCCTGCACCACTGTTCTCCATCGCTGTAGATATAACTTTCCAGCTATAATCACATTAGATTTTTGCTAGTTTCCCCCTTAATACTCAGTCTAAACACAACGCTACAAGTAAAAGACAAAAGCAGCAACTGCAACAGCAAACTGTGTAAACTCCAGGTTTAATTTCTGCTGCTGCAGAAGAGAGTGTCTTTGACTGTCAGATCTAAAAGTTATCACTGTAAAATGCCACTTGGAGTTAAAGGGTATGATCCACAGGCTCCAAAACCTGATCAGCACAGTGCTGGATCAAGGTTTGCGTGTGGCTTCCACACCATATCTGTTCGGCCCACAAAACTGCAAATAATTCTTATACATGCTTGAAGCTACGTCTCTGCACGGCAATTTTACAGAGCTTCACAGTAACTTTCAGGTCATTGTTTATCAGTCTGACTGCAGTTTTACTGTTCTGGTTCACTCTTAGAGCGTTATTTTCAGAGAAGCTGCTGTAAAAAGCCACCGTGCCCTACCTCCTCAGCAGCAAACAGCAGACAGACACCGAGATGAGCTGGTGAACATAGCGGAGCATTTAGCAGCTAAAAAGCCAGATATTTCCCTCAGGAGCTGGTGGAGACCAAAATTAGCAACAGTTTGCTGACAAGTTCATCAAATCAGCTTACAAGGTGATATGTCAACGTTGTGTTCACAATGCTGCTACCCCAAGTGGCCTAAAGAAAATTCAGTAACTGTCGGTCTAAAATATTTCAGGTCATTGTTAACGAGTCCAAAAGGAAAATGTACCAAACCGTCTTAAAAGCTGTGAAAAATTTACCCCAGCTTCTACACTCCCTGCTGCTGTTTGAACATCAGTTGCAGATTTTGTTTTGCCTTTGGAACAAAAAGATGAGGTACGGCCTCCATTCTTCTACAAAGCTCCGGTTGGCTCGTTTGTTTTTTCAACTGTTGGAAAAAATACCTGACCTATTGGACTCACTAAAAGAAAATCTGTGGCTAGTGATTCAGGATACTGATAAACTCTACACTCGTCAGCATCAGCATTACTTCCTCCTCCTCCCCCATTTTTCTCTCTGTCCTTCCTGTGGCCAGGCGGGGAGGAGCAGGGAGGAAATGAGAGAAGGGGTGGAGGTGGAGAGGCCGGTGAACAGCTGGAGGTGGGTCAGCTGGGTGGTGAAAAGGGAAAATTCAGGGCAAACTGTTTGTTTTAGGAGGTGCTGGAAGCAGCAGATAGGCAGTGGTCACTGTGTCAGGACACATCACTCAGTGTCAGATAGGGCGGCAGTGTTTAAAATCCATCAGTGTGATACTTAAATTAAATCCAGCGGCCAAACAGTGCCAAATGCTAAAATGTCACGTAACAGTTACAAATATTAAAGCAGAACCGCCACACACATTGCTGTAGTGGAGTAAAATACTTAATATATAAAGTTTTAGAAAATGGAAAATACTCAAGAAGGTCAAAATTTTATTTAAGCGTGATTTATGGACAACACCACAAAAATAATATTTTCAAGAAACTTTCCAATAGAATTTGGCATAAAAACAAAAACAAATTACTGTCATACCTAAATATTAATTCTGTCCTACAACCCCTGAAGCGTTCTTTTGTGATCCTGTGTGACGGTGGAGCGTAGGTGTTGTTTAAAAACTGGCTGGTTGCTGTTTATTCTGTGTTGTCAGCGGTTTGGGTGTTGAAAGCTGCAGCAGAGTTAAACCTCCCCCCCCCCCCTGCCCTCTCGTTACGTCTCCTTTCTGTAATCAGCGCTGTGAAATTCTGTCATGCTTGGCACCAGGCTCAAACATCTGATTCAGACTAAATAATTAATCCTCCTCAGAGTGATTTTAAAGTACCGGGATTACCGGCAGCTTTACTTTCTCCTTCTCGTCCTGCATTTTATCAAATCTCCTTGTCGCTCGTGTCATCTGATCATTGAAGCAAGGCAGAACTCGTCCTAAACCCTGAGAGCAGGCCTAAACTGTAATGTCGCCTCTTAAGAAAATTACTACAATATGTACAGAACACACTCACTTCCCCAGCAAGCAGGTTTGTGTCGTTACCTCTGTGAATGTTTCCTCAGATAATTAATGACAAAGTGCCCTTGAACCCTGGAGGTCAGTATGATTGACAGAAGCTCAAGCTCAAAAGACGAGGGAGCAGTGAGAAAGTGAATCAAACCGAGATGTGGTTCCTGTAGAACCTTAAAATGTCTTCAAACAGGATTTTTGGAAGGAAGGCGTTGAATTTATTTTGTATGTTTTACACCACTGATGCTTTACGTCACAATGACCAATAGACATTTACACTGTTTTATTGTATTGTAGACCGTGTGGTGGTGGTTATCAATATTTTAACCTTGAAGAAGAAGACAAAGACTGAAGAAGGGCACAAAGAAGAAGTAGACAAAGAAGACTGAACCAAGGCACAATGAAGAAGAAGGGCACGAAGAAAAAGAACAGAGTACAAAAGAGTAACTGAAAAAGGGCACATGAAGGTAAAAGAATAAAATGAAGTGAAATGTGGACTGTTGCTGTTAAATCAATCCTGTCTCCTAGAAATAACTAGCTCCACAACAACTTATTTTCATCAACAAATAGTCTATCAATCCATTAATTGTTTAGTCCATGAAATGTCTAAAGTGAAAATCATTACAGAGCCCAACATGACATCTTTATACAGTATGTTGCTCTTAAACCCAAAGATATTAAATTTACCATCACATGACAAACAGAAACGAGGAAACATTGTTAATGGAGGTTAGCTAACAGGCTAGTCGCTTGTTCATCCTGTAACTGACTGGGTTTAGCTGACATCTGACTCTGGGAAAAGATATCAAATGATGTTTTGTTAAGTTACAGATTTTCAGTGTTTTG